GGGCGGTGGGGATGCTTGGACACCCCATGTGGATTTATGTAAATATCTCGAAAACGGCGTTGTGGAGCGCCGCCGTTTTTGGCACACCTTTTCATACATCTTTTTCACACATGCTGCGTAACTTTCAGACTTAGGTCACTCAAGGTTAGGTCATCAGGTTACGTCCAAGTGACCTTACCTTAGGAAAAGTTATAGTGCCCTTCATAGCTACACAGACTGAACAATGGGTTTAACCCGCGCCCTGCTGGGGGGGTGTTTGAACACCCCCCCCTGCGGTTTTTCGCGGATATCTCAAAAACGGCGGCGCGGAGCGCCGCCGTTTTTGGTACACCTTATCATACATCAATTCTACACATGTTGTGAAAATTTCAGACCAAGGTCATTCAAGGTCAGGTCACCAGGTCACTTGAAGTGACCTCACCTCATAAAAAGTTTCAATGTCTGCCATAGCTACACCGAGTGACCGATCGCTTTGAAACTTTCAGCGATTACTAAGAGCAATAGCATGTACAAAATGTATATCTCAGAATTTTGATATCGATGACCTAAGGTCAGGTCAATTTTGCGACCTCCCCATTATAAGTCAATGGGAGAAAATTGAAATGCGCCTCTTTTGGACGAAAAGCATTATAAACACTCCCAAACACAGAATTACAAGTGGTTTAGACACACTGAACATGAAAATGGTGTCTGTGACCCCTGGTTATGCCCCTGAGGTCATCTTAGGTCACGAATGGTATCTAACAGTTTTTTGCAAATAACTTTTGATAGAGGCATGCTAGAGCGATGAAAACACCTTAGATGTGTTCAGCTCGACGATACGGATCGACTGATATGCAACATGACCCTTTCCGGTCAGGTCATGACCTTGACCTGAGGTCAAATTTTCAAGTTGACCTTTCAAGGTCAAGTTATAGTTCATTCGATGCGTCTTGACGAGAGGAACACGATGCTGGTAAAAGTAAGCTCGTACAAGGTTTGGGGCAAAAGTTATTGCAGAAAAACTGTTTCCAAAAAAATCGGCTATTTTTGCAGTTTTTACCCCCTGCAGGCAAAACCGTTGACGCTAGGTCAAATCTGAGAGTATTACTCAGAAAGAGCGTTAATAGGGCTATCGAATGCGCTTTTCCGCAGCGCTGTAGCTCTATTGGTTCCCGAGTTATGCGTTGGCTTCTTGGAAATTGTCGACATTCGACCTGGAAATCGGCGAAATTTTGCCTTCAATGACCTCTGGTGACCTGACCTTTGACCTGACCAAAAAATTGACCGAAGTGATTTCGTCATTATTTTTTACGTTCTTTCGAACGCCGCCTTCCGCGTATCGCTACGTGGCCCAGGAGCCGAGTTAGAAGGGGGGGGGGTGTTTGAACACCCCCCCCCCCAGCAGGGCGTGGAAATCCAGGACCCCCAGCAGGGCGCGGGTTAAAACATGCAGCGATTGATAAGAGCAACAATACATACGTAGAGTACCTCTACCTCGGAATTTCAATATCACTGACCAAGGGTTCTGTTGTTTTCGCGATTTTTATATTACAGGTAAGTCAATGGGAGACTATTGAACTGCGCTTCTGTTGCACGAAACTCATATAAACCTACTAAACAATGCACTCTAATAACCGGACACGGTGGTAGGGAAACGTGACGGACTTAATGGGGAAATTGCACCTGTGACCTATCTTTATGTCCTAGGGTTATTTCAGATCATGATGGACCCCTATAACTTTTTGACAGTAACCTTTGGTAGAGATATCTAAGAGCGCTGAAAACACTTTTGATGATGTGTTTAGTTCAACTTCGTAAATTGAGGCTCTGAGTTTTTCGGGTTTTGGATCAGGAATGCCATGTTTGGTTTGATCACAGCTGATGTTTTCATGGATTTAGGCCAGGTCGGGTCAGGTCAGGTCAGGTCAGGTCAACCAGTAGGCGTCCTACGGCTTATCCATAGTAGGTGTCAACTACCACTGATGGCGTCGTAACGTAACATGTTTCGAAGACACTACAACTACATAGTTACTTCTTAAATGTTCAAATGAATACTAAATTCGAAATCAGCTCGAAGCACTGCCCTAGAAACATGCAATACTAAAAAAAGTGAACCAAGGTCATCAAAGGCCAGTGACCTTGACCTATCCTTCACGTGACCTTGACACCTACCATATTGCATGGGACCAACAACATTCCACATGTTCGAACGTACAACCGCAAAAAGACTGGAAACGCGCGAATAATGTGGGCTGACTTACGCCGAATCACGATTCTGACCCAACATGGTCTCGTGAGATATCAGATACAGATTTACCGCTACTCAGTCAAGTTCGAACCATTTCTTGGCCGCGGTCACCGGTCCAGGCCACCACAAAATCGCATTAGGTACACCGCGCTTGCTCAATGCTCAGGCTCGTATTGTAAGAGCACTGCGGCACAGCATAGATGCAGGCGCTTTGCTACTGCCATCTATGGGTGAAAGATGAAGATAATGGTTATTGCGGTATAGTATCACTGCAGGCGCAAACAACGTGGATAACAAAGATGCCTATGCTGCGCTGGACGGCGATTGAGGCGTAAATTTGCGTTGCTGGGTAGCAAGCAGTTTAGGAGCCCGAATTTGACAAAAAAAAATGATTTGCCGTGCTGGTGAGCTGAGGTTGCAAAATCAACAGAACCATAGGTCAGTGTATTGAAATTTTGAGGTAGAGGTAGGTAGGTACCTACTCTACGTATATACTGTTGATTTTATCAATCGCTGCACGTTTTAAACCGATTGTTCAGTCTGTGTAGCTATGACGGGCATTATAATTTTTCCTAAGGTAAGGCCACTTGGACGTATAAGCCTGGTGACTTAACCTTGAGCGACCTAAGTCTGAAATTTATGCAGCATTTGTGAAAAAGATGTATGAAAAGGTGTGCCAAAAAAACGGCGGCGCTCCACAACGCTGTTTTCGAGATATTTACATATATCCACATGGGGTGTCCAAGCATCCCCACCGCCCGGCGCGGACAACTTTTTTTGCACGTGCAGAGCGCACCTTTGGGGTCCACCAGGACAGGAGATGGATATGCTCAATAACTATGCTGGAATGCATTCGGGGTGGTCTGTGTAAATTTGGCACTTTGGGCTTTCCAGCGCTACCCGCCCTACCCGCATATGTGACACAGAGTGCAACATCAAAAGGTTTGCACGTGCACAGCACGTGCACCTTGTACCCCAGCACGCCTATTTGTACAGCACCTTAAAGCGCGTGTCCAGTAGTGTCAGTGTGCCAAATCTGGTGTGCCTAGGTCAAGGTTTTCCGGAATCGGAGGATGCCTCCTCAAAACATGTTTTTCGCCACTAGCGCGTGCATTCCGCACCCCCTGATGCCGAGCATACCATATGTTAGTGGTCGAACACTGGGACATGTGACCTGTGAGTTTGGCACCTGTGCCGCCCTTCGTTTGATTTGAAGCGTCGCTTGAAGGTTTTTGCCCTTTGTAAGTTTGTCGGCACGTGGCACGCGCCATGTGACACCGGGTGACCTGTGACATGCATCATCACCTGCCTCAAGGCATTACCCGTCGAACGGTACCACCAGCATCTCGATCCGATCATCCGTTTAGACGCAATTCTAATTGTATTGGCTCGATGACCTTCCAGAACACGGTTTTTTGGCAACGTAAGATGGCGCCTTGTCGGCTTCACCTGAATGGAGGTGGTTGCGGGTCCAGTTTATTTATACGTCCGTGGTTGAAGTCCAGCTCCAAAGGACAGCTGACGATCGTAGCCGAGCAGGCTGTTTGGTACTTCTTCACTACTTCTTAGAAGTACCCGTTAGTACCGATCATGTCTCACATAATAAGCTATTGGAACAAAAATATCCATGTTCTTCTAATTATTCTCCTTTCACACTTTGAATAAATACTTTTGAAATGCATTTACTGATTAATTTCACAAAAACGGCTTGAAATTTTACAACGTCAAAATACTTATTCCAATTTCCACCGTGAAACCACCACTATATTACTTGCTTACAGAACCGTGCGCACAGTGCGCGCAGTTTTATCGTGACGTCAGAGGGTGCTTCCTCAGTGGCGCCCCCTGGCGGGGAACGCGTGCAAAAAGTCCAGCTCTTAGGCATGTCCGCTGAATACAGCGAAATCATTGCTTATCAATGTTTGAATCAGTTGCGGCTAGATTGTCACAAACAGTGCTACCATATTCCTTTCTGATAAATATTTTTCCTTTTTTTACCATAAAGCCTTTATTTCCATGCATAAAGGCAACGTAGAATTCGATTAGGCCAAGGCGATCAGTTAAAGTTATCTTGATTAGGCCTTGGATACCGAGGTCCATTGGCCATTGCCTTTTCCTGTCGACTCCCAATTCAGATGTGGACATTGGACAAAACAATGTCTTACCTTACCTTGTCGTCGGGAGGGACTAATGGAGGCCAGAGGCCTATTGGACCTTGGACCCGATCTCGTCGAGCTCATGCGGGCGGTATATTCTGCTCGGACTCAGTTAGTGGCAGGGATATCGTTCGTACATATGTCTCGACCAGTGTTTGTCGAGGAGGTTCACGAACCCGTTCAGAGTCGGAGCGAGGACTACCTCGGCCGGCAGTGTGCTCCAGTCGTTGACCGCACGTATGTACATACGCTCCAATGAGAAGACTTTGTCCGTTCACTAACAGATACAGATACCTCATTGGACGCTGCTTATGTCCGCCAGATTTGTCCGCGCCTGGCGCCTGACGTTCAGTCGTGCTTTAATAATAGCTGCCTGACGGCTTACCGAGGAAACGACGCCTGTCTTCTTATTCCATTAAAGTTGAATGCAGTGAGAAAATAATAGTGTACAAATAACATATCAATTTTCGGTAGGCTATCACATAGCCGGGTATATCCCGTATACGGTGCCTCCTTGACTGTAATCTCTACAACTACGAGTCAGAGTGTATAGTATACCATCCAGCCATCCAGGTCGTGTCGTGCCCATCCCAAGTGCTCAGCAAAGCTATCCATTAATGTTCTTTCTTTGTATTCCATCACATATAACATAATTCATCTCAATGCATATAGTAAAGAGAACACACGCGCATACGTTCATGTAACGGATCCTGTTGAAAGTCGCGACACACAGCGAAGTAACGATTGTCACTTAAAACACGTAAAATGAAGTCCGCATATCTCATATGACGGACTTGCGGTGCCGTCTCGGACGAGCAAGTCCAGCCTGTCACTTGAGCACCGTTAAAGGACATGAAGAGTATTAGCAAGCGCAAGTATTTACACATACACTGTCAATACACAGATGGGAACCATTGACGATGATTGGCCGTGAAAAATACAGACGCCGTGGAGGATGCTCACTCCGGGCGGTCACAGGCACACAATTCGTCACACGGCCAAATAACAACGGTCATAACACACAGTCGGCACACATAGTCACAGACACAGCCGCCCGCGGGTCACAGGCACCTCTCTGACTTAGATTGTGCCCGCGGGTGGCGGCACCAGTCACCCCGTCACACGTACGACTCTTCCCCGTCGTTTGAGCTGGCCGCCGACACCGTCCTGCCGAGGGGCGCCAGCCGCGGCGGCGGCAGCGAGGCGTAAATATCCCCCGGAGAGGAGGAGCCCGAGCCGCCGGAGCCGCCCGCTCTGCGCAGCGGCGGGTGGCGGTAGCGCGCCTGCTCGCCGCTCGAGCCGTCACCGCTGAACAGTTCACGGAGACGCGACACGGACCAGCCCACGTCGGCGTCGGCCCAGGACTCCGCGGCGTCACCCGGCCGCGGGCAGCGCGGAGTCGCCTCGATCTCCACCAGGGTAACGTGCGGTCGGCGGCGCCGCTCCTCCGGCTCCGCGCGACTATCCACCTCAGTCTGAGTCTCCGCCTCACGCCGGGACGCCCGCCGCTGCGGTCTGCACGCGCGCGGAGCAGTCGAGTCGGAGTCACCGATCTGAATGACGGTCCGAGTCGACGGCTGGTCCGGTCCCCTCCGGCCGGTGTCGGGTCGTCGCGTCGGCGAGCGCTGTTTGGGCGGCAGCGGCGGCGCCGGACCGCCCCCGCCGGAGACAGTCCGTACAGGAGAGGCATACACCATCTCCGGCGCCGCCGTCTGCTGCGCGTAGATCCGCAGACTCTCCTCATACAGCTGCTTAGCGCGGTTGGAGAGGATGGTCTGCTCCCGCAGCACCTGTTCGGGCAGCGCGTAGATGGCAGACCGGCCGTTAGAGGGTGTCAGTCGCTGCCGGCGGCTCAGCGTAGCATCGTAACTGGGCGGCGTCTCCACGCAACTCCCGCTCCGAGACGAACTGACGCTGCTGCCTCGGACGAACCTCGCGTCTGCCCGAGGGTCAGCGCGAGACTCGACAGCGCCGTACGTCCGCTCCCAGAGGTCGTTAGCCAGCGAGCAGTCCTTGCTTCGCGAGTTGGAGCGGGAAACGTGCGGCGTCGAGTCGTCGTCAGACAAAGTCGACGAGTCGTAAGACCGGTCAGCGTCGTCAATGTGCGGCGTCGAGCGGCTGCGGGCCCAGGCGGAGGACGGCGCCGGCGGGGTGTCCCGAGGCGGCGCCGGGGCCAGGCGCGCGTCCCGCCGCTGTGCCAGGTGGTGGGCCGATCGAGACCTCACCATCGGCGGGGAGCGGGACGGCGACGGGCGAGACTCCGGCTCCGGTGTCGGCCGCGCCGGCTCGCGCGGCCCGCACATCTTCACCAGGCTCTCCTCGGAGGCACTGCGGCGCAGAGAGCTCTTAGGGTCGAAGCCGGGCCTTCCTGATCGCCGCGCCGGGTGGTGCTGCCGCGTCCAATCCTGCCGTTTAAAGTTGGACGGCGTGTGGCGCGGCGGCGGCGGCCGGGCGTACACCGCCTCGGGGCTCTCGCGGGACACGCTCGGCCGGCGCGGGGACGCGTAGATGGTGCTGCCGTCTACCGGCCGGTGTCGGTAGCTGTTGTCCGAGCCGCGGCCGCTCGAGCACGCGCTGTGCTCGCTCTTCTCCACACTCTGACCGGACGAGGTGCTGGCTGATTCCTCCTCATCGTCCAGCGCGTACAGCTGAGTGTCTGAGAGCGTCAGACCCGAGTCGCGGCTCAGGTTCGTCACGGCCATCTTGTCCTTGCGCGGGAGGGGCTCGTTTTCTCCCAGCAGCTCGCGCTCCAGGCTGTCGATGGAGGAGTCGTCCCGGCGCACACCACCACCTGAAACAAATGAAACGCCCCACGTCAGATCGAATACGAAATCACCAGCAGGTCTTGTTCCGTTCCACATGGTTTGTTTGAAAGTCGAGAGTCACAATGGTCACCTGCTTTCTATGCACTCTAAGCGCTTCGAAAGTGAGTGAGCTGTAAACATCCGAACACAAACAGCGGCTATCGAGATTTTTAAGGCCTGACGAAATACCATGGCACGTAATTTACCGGACCACGCTAATGGAACCGAGCGGCAGTAAACTCCGAAACAACCGCCGGCCACCCATAAACGTACACATCACAAAGAAAAACCTCCTTAGCGTCCCAGCTCGCCACTACACAAAAGTGCACAAAACCTGGCGGAGCACCGTCAGTGGCCACTGGCCACCACCCTGCCTGTCCACTCACCACTGGCCAGTCCGTCCGAGTCCTCTCCACTGTCTGTGCGCGCCGCCCGTCCCGGTGGAGGACCCAGCAGGCGGAGGCACTCGCTGCCGAAAATGGCGTCACAGCGCTCAATGAGCAGCGCCACGACGGCCGGCAGCCTCTTGGCGCTGTCGGAGGCCAGCGCCTGCGTGGGGCAGGCCGGAGTTAGCAGCGAGGGCCCCACGCAGACGGCAACGTTAGCGGCTGACATCAGGTTGTGGTGACTACGGCGCGCCACGTGGTGCAGCACGCAGAGGAAATGGCACAGCAGAGTCACGTTGGCTGCCGGTAGCCGCGAGCACAGCCTGTGGAGAGGAGAGGGGGACGGGTCAGACACCGGGTCAGGTCGGCCCGCGCGGCCGCGACACGTGGCGCGCCATTTTTGCGCGCCCAATCAGGCGCCGCGCGCCACTCGACGGCGGCGTTTTGGCGCCGTTTTTGTGACGTCGCGTTAGCATGAGAATAGGACGCGCTCTGCGGCGATTGTTGTCGTGTGAGAGGCGTGACACCAATACATGACCCCGCCGCGCAGGTGGACGGGGCCAGTGCCTACCGCAGCGCAAGGCAACCTCACACAGAGAGCCACAGAAATACTAAATTAGCCGCGTCATGAACCTTGGTATTCGCTTCAAGACTCGGACCCGCCCCGGTCAAATAGCCAAGCCATACTCACTCTCTGATGCGGATGATTTTGTCGTGCTCGTCCTCAATGTCGGCCACCTCTCTCCACTCGTCGTAAAGCTCAGAGCCGAGCAGAGGGTCGGGTAGCGAGCGCAGGAAATCCTTGGTCAGACCGGCTACCGCGTAAATATTCACCGATTCCATGTCCACCTGGCGAGCAGAGTGACATGACGTCAGCATCACGTCAGTTGTAGGCTGGTAGAATACCAGACACGAGAGGCAAAGGGGCCATCAGTCCTGTCCTATGCATAAACGGTGTACATTTATGTACGCGATGGGATCAGGAAATGTCCTTAGCATTGACATTCATTCTACCGCCTGCTGGTGTTCGCACCACAGGTAATACGTGTCTCTCGTGGGTAATTACAAGACTAACAGGTGCCTGTTCACTTGCTCAGCGTTTGGCGGTCACAAAAGGACGTTTCACGTCAGTAGATTAGATGACTCACCTCCAATCCGCTGTCGAGTTTCTCCTTGATTTCCTTCACAACCCTGGCGTTGGCAGACTTGCGAAAAATACCCACGGTGTACGGGCCCTTCCTGAAGAGCTGAACGAGCATAGCCTGAGGGAAAACGGAGGTCCACGATAAATATTGAGAACAGGGCAATCACACGGGTGCTACGTCAAGAGCGTGGAAACCAGGCTTGGAGATCGACTGGCGTATGATCACGACGGCTAACCAAATGACCAACAATGAGTGGCTAACTCGGTCATCAAATACGAGGTGTCCAATTACATTTAATACGCTGTATTAAAGCATAGAAAAATTGCATACAATTCCCACTGGCCAGTTGCAATTCCGCCTTGTTATTATCCGCTTTCAAGTTTCAGCAAGGCCGCATCCTGATAGCGTGGGCACCCAGTGCTACATGTTTAATCCGTCGGCCAGCTCAGAAATAAATGCCGTGGTTTTCCTTCGGCATCTCTCAGCGGCCTGTCCCACAACTCCCCAGGGCCTGGGGCCTCAGGGTTGATCCGCTCTGAGGTGGCTCCCTCTCAAACTCACCAGGACAGGCGGCGGCAGGGTGTCGTTTTGGCAGAGCGTGCTCAGAGGCTGACCGAACAGCATCGGCGAGCCGCACACGCTGAAAGGAGCGTCCACGCAGTCCGGCTTGCTGTTGGTGCGCCGGAACACGTTGTGGATGCGGATCGGGGACTTCTTGGAGAGCTTCTTCTTCTTGGCGGGGTCCGGTGAGGGTGAGAGGGCGCGGAGGTCGGACCGCACCGGCCTGAGGGGCACACCGGGAAAAGATGTGAGCACACCGTCCCAGGAAACCACATACACACGTAGTTTACCTGTCTGCAAACATCGGCACGTCAATTAGCTAATGCTATCAAAAACCGCTTGTTGTATGCAAGGTAAGATCCCGTCTGCTAAGAACATCTCCTCTACACAAAGCACAAGCAGTTCCTCAACCAACAGAGCAGACCACTTTCCGCTACATCAGATCTCATCGGGATTCCTCTCGTTGCCTTTCCCATACGCTCCAGCCATCTCTAAGTCGCACTGGATCCTCCCCTCTATCCCCAACTACCGCCACGCTGAATAACCCACCTGAGTATGAACTGGCAGCCGGCCGTCGGGCTGGTGCTGTAGATGTTATTGCAGTGGTCCATCTCCGCCCTCTCCTCGGCAGCCGCCTCTCGCAGCGCGTGCAGCTGGATGGCGGCCGGCAGCTCGTGGCCGATGAGCGGGTACGGGGGCTCGTCGGCGGCCGGCCGCGCCCACAGCTGGTACTCGGCAGCCACGGCCGACGGTAGGTCCAGCGAGGACAGCGCGCTGCGCACACAGTCGCGAGCAGTGGCCGACGAGCCGGCCGTCACCGTCTTACCCTGGGGGTGGAAGGACGCACAAGGGTCAGGGCACAGTCCGTAGTACCTGCATAGTTTCAGACGTGTATATGTCTGCGACAACGCAGCAGCTCGCGTCGGTCACGAAGTCTGTCTATATCAAGAGGGATGTCTGTCTTGTTAGCCGGTTAGCCCACACAGTCGTGTGCGGTCGGTGCAAACGGGTCCATTGCACGTGCTGTGAGGGCCCCACGACCTTCCTCGGCCGTCTGAGCAGCCATGTTTATCAAAATATAATCTGGCATTGTAATTTTCATGCATCCGCGACTGGCACGCGAGTGTCGGTACTGCAGCGGAGGCGTCGGTCTGGGCTGCAGAAGGCATGGCTACTATCCAATGCCGGCAGTATAATAGGGTCTGACAGGCTCAGTGATAGACCGACAGGCTAGGTAGTGTCACAGGTGTCCCAAACTGGGTCAGGAGATGTCACAGTCAGTCTACTCTACGTACTGGCATCGAAGCCCTCTGTCAAGACTCATATGAACATTCGGTGTCTTTTCATTCGGAATATTCGATGAAGATTGTCGAGATATTCTCTCGGCGGCCCAAAGGAGCTCATAAAAATCGAGCTTTAACTTCAATTCTGCTAAATCCCGCGGCACACGCAACCAGGGACAGTGCTTATTGAGTTAAATGCTCTCCCGTTTTTTGATACTGCATCTAGAGGCTTACATAACTAAATCTCTGTGTGAAAGTTACGTTATGACGTTCATGGAGAAGCCAGACATAAAAATGGTCGGATATTAGAGCGAACGACCAATTGCGGTTGAAAAGCTACGGAACGAAAACGTTCAAGCGGTGCCGAAGCATAAACAATGCCACATGTGCTTTTACGTTTATTATCTGACACTATATCAGTCATGCGTCAAACGTTTAAACTAATACCAACAACTTTCAATCAAAATAATATCCGCACGCAAGTAAAGAGTTACAGCACAACAATGCAGACCATTACTTAATATTTTGAAAGCAATTCGATATCCTTCTTTCCAATGGATAATTTTGAAACGGGCAATAATTAGGTGAGGTCGTTCACACTCCACACGGGCCTTGAGAGCAGACCCCAGAAAGGCATTGAATGCTTCGACAGAGAGAACGTCCCTACCAAGCCTGCCATCAGCACCGCGAGGTCGATCTGTATTACACGTCTCTGCGCGTACCCCCTTGTCGATAGCGCTGCAGCGAGCGGTCTGTGCCAGGCCGACGCTCGCTGACCCATCATTTACACGTTGTTAGCGTTCCAGCGTGGCGCTCAGCTCTGCAGATGCAGGTGCGAACTATCCACGCCGCTAATTCACCTCTGAACCAACGCACCTGCATGCTAACGGACGGTTAATGCGACTTCAGCAAAGCGCCGGGACCTCAGAGCACGCCGACTCCTTATTAACGCCAATATCGAATGGCTTTATAGCTGATTGATGGTCTCAAACCGACTACGCTTGAGAATGCAGATCAGTGCTTCCCTTACGAAAGACTGGGAACGTTCAACGCGCTAAAGACTGCGTATGAATTTGGCAAAGTGCGATGATTTTCACACGGTGCAAATTAAGTGCTCCACTTAATGAGTAGGCCCGTTTGCTAATTATGTGGTCCCAGATAACGGAAGATTTCCTACTGCACGTGTATGCGTGCATTTTTTCGTGCAGCAGTTTCAACATCAGTAGACTTCGTCGTGGGCGACGGGCGTGCATCAGATAGGATGGCGCAGCTACCCGGACTGGGTCAGAACTGACGGCCGAATTAGCAACGATATTGTCAAACATGGTAATCCCTCCCACGTGCTTTCGATACACCTGACCGTCAACGTTTTCCTTCGTCGTATCGGTGCTGACCACAGTCATGAAAATGCCGCGACATTGACGTGACCCAGTGATAACTCAATCCAGTTGAAAGCAGTAATAATCCAGCTATACAGTATCGCGGCAATGGAGACTGCAATAAGGCACATAATACTACCACCAAGCGACTGCATTTCATCACAGAAAGCTACCACCAAAAGACTGCGATGTAACACATAGCGGAACACCAGAGATCTGTTGGCCGTCCGCTTGGGGGTGGATCATTGGCCTATCCACCTCCGGGTGAGGTGTTCGCTTCCACCCTCCGGCCAAAATTATAGCACCGTGTGATACAAAAACAGCCCAAATCAATCGCCCACTCAGTCCAAGCAGACCAGCTCTCCGCGTTAATGACAAACGAGCTCCAATTATCGGTCTAATCATCGGGGCAGGCTGAAGTCGCCGGATGACATTTGCATAAATAATGGATTCGGCTGCGTCGGCCGCGTCTGGGGATGATCCCCGAGTCGCTGTCAGTGACCGGAGCCGGAGTCGGGGGTGGCGCGGCGCGGCGGGCGCCGGGCGCCGGGCGCCGGACGGTGGCGCCGCAGCGGGGCCGGCGGCAGACGGGAGGCGCCGGGGACCGGGGAGGACGGGAAGGGTGCTCACTGCTCGGTACTCACCAGGTCAGAGTTACTGCCCGGGTCGCGGTACAGCACGTGGATCGCCGTCGCCTTGGCCTCGTGCTCCCTCTCTGCGGCAATCAGTTGGCTGAGCTTGTTGTACCAGAGGTCGCGCGCCGGGCCACTGGAATAAAGAAAGGAAAACACGTTAGCGAATGGTATGAACGACGGATGGAAGCATTATGTACAATTGAACGTTAACAGTTTTGCACGTCAATTAGTAACAGTAGGTATGCGGTTGTGTGACATTGTGCTACTGAAATATCTAAACAGTCACACGTTGAGGTGACATTGGTGTATTTATAGACCCAGATAGCGCAATACGACACCCATGGATAATCGATATCTAATGATCCGCGTAATTTTCTTGTTTTCCTTCGTCCCTCTGGTGCATGTCCCCACAAACAGCCGTGGGAAAAACAACCACACACACAAGCATTTCAGTCCACAACATGGCTAATGAAAAACACTGCAAGCACGATAACCAATGTCTTAGGCTATCCCAAAACACATGTTCATCGCGAAGCCTGCATCGCTCGCGCCAGTTTCCCTTCGGCGAATGCATTTACCTTACAACTACCGAGAGCGGGGGCCCGATGGCCGGTCTCCTCACACAGATACAGCTGCGGCCGCCATCGCACTCGTCACCGCCGGCCGGCGCCGGGCCCGGCACGGAGGTCGCGCACCCCATCCCCGACACACGCACACGCAGACTGGCGCGGCGGCCGGTCGGCAGGTCAGCTCCCTGCTCTGCCCCGTCCCCTCCGTCCCTCTCCCGGCGTGCCAGGAGCGGCCGGCGAGCAGGAGCCGGCGGCGCCCCTCCATTCAGCGCGCCGGCCCCGGGCGCCCGATCGGTCGCCAAAACAGCGGCGCGCGGACAAATGGTGGACGGCCGGCCGGGCGGACGGACCTGCCCCGCGGCCGGCGGCGGCGCGGCGCGCAGCAGGGGGAAGTCAGCGCCGCGGGTACCTGTCGGGAGGAGTCCGGTGACGGCGCCGATCGCTGATGACACAGGAGCGGGCGCCGCGGAGGGGGAGGCGAGACAACTCCCGGCACCAAACAGGGAAGGGCGCCCACTGCACACCTGTGGCCCGGCTCACGGGAGGGATACAGGGGCGCGCGGAGGCAGGGCTATTGTGGCCGCTCCCGGGCGCGCATGACGGTCGGAGAGTTGGCGGCGGCTCACCGGCTCCTCTAGCCGGATACCGTGTCGGAATTGGCTCCACCTGACCCTCAGTGCTCACGATATCAGCCCGTTAGCCGTCTGATCCCGCGCCGCCCAGCCGCCCCTGATGACGCACGTTCGTTGTTAGCGCGAGAGTGACGCGCGTGGGTTCGACCCACCTCGTCTGTCGGCGAATTCCCGGCGTGAAGATTGCGGCAATTATGGCGTACAGGAGCCTACCGACGGCCGTGAGCGCGGCGTTCGCGGCGCGCGGTAATTTGACTCCATCTCCACCCACAGTGGACTCGACATCGCCCCAGGGAAGCGGTCTTCCCCGCCGCGGCGCGGGCATGCTCGGACTCTCAGACCGCAGCTATTAGTGGACACCGCTCCAAGACGCCGACGCCAATAGGGCGGTGTGGAGAAGGAGCCCTCCTCTAGTCCATTGCGCTGAAGAATGGAGGCCACTAATGGGAAGAGGGCCGGTCGTATAAACACGGGCGGCGAGGAGCGCGGCTGGCTATTATTTCGCGGCCAATTAGGAGTCACGGGTCGGCGAGCTGGGCGGGGCGGGCTCGTCAGTGACCAAGGTCAGTGGCGTCAACGGTCGCCGCAGTGCGGTAGGACAGGGACGGACGGCGGTGACGGGCATGGATGGCGGTGACGAGGGTGGAAGCGGACAGTGTTTGACAACAGTTGGGCTGCTGAATGGTGCGCTAGATAGCTTTCCAAGACGGTGGGATTTGATGCAGAGCATTCCAATCCCTACCCGCATTGACTCTCGTCAAGCGCTCACATTATGACAGATAGACATCATTACAATGTGAGGGCTGTTGAAGGCTGGCCCGTCATTTCCACACCATATCTGACTGAGAGTGATATCAGCCAGTCGCCACCAGCGGGCCGGCACACTGTTGTGACGCCTGTGAGAGGCAGCTATCTGCAACCCCATCGCCTGGCGCAACCCAGCCGGCCCTCACCGGCCGCGGCGGAACCGAGACGGTTGGCATGGGCAAGCATGACTGGACCAGGCGTCGGCGGCTTGCGGCGACACAGCTGCGCAACCGTCCTGGCCGAGCCGCCACAGACGCAACGTCTGCCCTCGGCCTCCCCGCGGGCGTCGCGCGCCACGCGTTCCCCGGGCGCGTCAGGAGGGCGGCGCGTTTCCTGAGAGTGGCCGATGGTCACTCGACGGTTCGCGTCGGTGGCGTAACTCACTGTATTTTCTCATAGCACGGTGTCAGGTGACTGAGGTCTCTCAGTCGAGCGGGGAAAGCAAGGTCGGGAGGAGGAGGTAGGAGCTGAAGCCGTCCGCTTGTCAGGAGTGCCGGCAGAGTTCAGTCGGTTCGCGAACTCCGAGCTACAAGACTGTCGCGGTCGCAAAGGGTTTCAGTAACGACGCAGCAGTAGCTGACACAGCGAACTCGGCACACTCGGAGCGGATGACGCGGGCTCAGTCGGCGACCAATAGGTGTCCGACCAATAGGCGAATTTTAGTGGCCGGACCTGCGTCAGGGTCGCTCCAAGGTTACAGTGGGACCGACTCGACTCGACTGTGGTATGGTATGTTTTATCGAGTCCGATCGCGGTTCCAGCTCCGAGGAGAGCTCGCTGTTCAGGGTCGATGCCGGAGTGGCCGTCCGTCTCTTCGAGCCGCCGCGGTCACACCCCGTGGCACGTGAAATCCTCTTGGCGTGATTGAGTGCCTCCGTAGGTGCCCATTGGTCATGTTGCACTCAGCCTCCTCGATCATGATCAATAACTCCAAATGGCAAAAACGCTTAACGGCTCACAGCCCGCCCACTCGACATGACAAGCGGTTCTGCAGGGAAAAGCGCCGGCGCTAAAAACACCATGAGCATAAGTGCTTCGTTTTTAGACGACAATCTATCGCCCTGTTGAGGACTGCAAGTAACGTGTGTCGCAGCCGGCGATAACCTCATTTGTTTTCCCGGCACAGCGACCTCATTTTTGTGGCTTGATGAGGCGAGGAGACGCCTCCCTTGTTCTTTGGCGGTCCGTGAAGGCCCGCTTTCTGCGCCGGCCGGCGGGGGGTGGATGGGGTGGGGTGGGGTGGGGTGGGTGTTAGTAGGACAGACAGGCCGGACACGGACCAGACGCTCCCCTTACTGCGCTGAGAGTCACATCACATCAGCTTAAAGGTAGTGTGCCAGCTTTTTTGGACCATATGGAGTTAATGACCCGGATAAGGAGAACCGAATTTTTAGAACTTATCCATACCTTCAAAACTCATGGAAACGTCTTAAATTCTTCAAATTTTGAGTACCCCAGTGCGAAATTCGCCCCGACGGGTTGTCGGTCGTACCCCAACCACATTTCACACCACTATGAACAATAAATGCACACACTAAAATCGCTATTACCGATAGGCTCATCCAATCAAGTTTCGATAAACCCGTTCATCATCATCTCCTGCAGTTTCGAACACGCCTGTTAGGTGGCTTCTGATGCTCGTCGAGGTCGAAATTTCCTAATACGCGTGGTGCGTCGGGCCGCGCGCTCTGACTTCGGCCAATAAAAATGCGTCAGCTGATCAGTGTCCTTTCTGCCACTTGCGTGTGGTGAAATGGGGTCATAACTTAAGAGACGGCTGTTTCATATCAATTATTTCACATAAAATCATATTTCAAACCATAAATTAATGTTCGACAGCCAAATTAAAGAAACAATAACAATACAGGCTTACAGTTTAAGTTCAACATTGTGTTGTCTACGATTAGACAGCTGATAACTCGTTCCCGTACGTCGTAACTCTAAAATGACCTTTGCTTATTGTCACATGTGCGCCGCATTCGCGATTGTTGCCGACGCCTGTTTGCAGGTCAGCCCACTACAGTTGTTATACATATCGAAAAACCGATAAACTTTTAGGCAAAAAAGGCACTATTCCAGGCCCATTTTTGATTTTTTCTTGCGGTATTAGGTAAAAACAGAAGCTTCTTATCCTAGGAAAAATAAAATGGGAAATCATTGGAAGGTGGCACACTACCTTTAAAGTCGCCAGACATCACAATATAACATTTAATTTTTGGAACATTTCTAAGGCTGAGCAGAAATATGAGTTACTTCAGAACAGCGATCACATATCAAAGCGACACATTTCTGTGCAAACATGAACCTTGTCTTGTGTGTGCTTTTCGTCATACAAGCAAAAATTTTGTTTGGCGACTTATCAATGAAAGAGTCACCGGAATCCTCCGTTAAGCCTCCTGAATATTTCATGGGCCGGCACTCTTCTGTCCTCCCGGTACCGGTTGCAACCAGCTCCGATGACATCACTGGAGGGCCGGGGAGGGCGCTCAGCGGCCCGTGTCGCGCAGTGGTGACCGCCGCGGGACCGCGACCTCACCCCGTGAACACGACGGCGGCGGCCACCGTCGGCGGTCAGCCACCGACGCTCGGCACCGACACACTTTCTCCGCCGGTGCGGTCACTCCGGCGGACGGCGGCACGCGACTACCGACCAATTATCTCACCGCACGCTGGCCAGAGTTTTTCCCAAATGAGCGCCGCTCGAAAGTGCGATACCGTCTCTATGCCGCAGGCCATGAAACGCACAATGGCGCGGCAGTTAGAGCCGGGTGGAGTTTCATTGCCCGCGGCTCCATCATAACCTGCGACTTCCATTCAATTTCAATGTATTTACTAGGTAATATGACTTCATCCAGGACTCACCTGAAGGTGACAACGACGTTAGTAGTGGGCCAGCCGATGACGAAGGAGGTGGCCGGGTCCTTGGCCACCTCGGCTACGTCGTCCAAACAGCCGGCCAGCCACATCTCCGACAGGCGCACCTTCTCCTTCAGCTTGAAGTTGCCGCCGGAGCGCGCCTTGGCCACCAGCAGCATGTCGGTGAAGAGAAACAGGTGCCGGTCCTGCGACTGCGCGCCCTGAGGACACAAAACACGGACGTTATCTCCAGCGAACCTCGGTCAACGAGGGAAGACACATTGCAGATAATCAGTTATGCAACAGAGGTGAGAATCAATAAAGTAAGACCAAAACAAAGCGGGACACTGGCGGTTTTATCAGCACAATGGACGATGGGAGCACCGCGTCGCTGCAGCCGGTCGTAGCTACAGGACGCGATTGCGCCATCTTCTCCATCTGACACTGCACAGCACGGCAAACACGGATCTTTGATCAGGCAAACAGCGCCGTAAATACGGTGCGCCGCCGGGGCGTCGGCGGGCCGTTAATCCGCTCTGCAGCCGGCAGACACGGCTTCTGTTGTCTCACACGGCGCATCTACAAACGCCGCTGACGTATCGGCCCGGCCGTGGCATCAGGTACGAGCAGAGGGTGAGGCAAGACAAGAAGACGTGACGGAACGGACGGAGGGGGAAGATGGCGGAGGACGGTACGAGAGAAGACGGCAGCGAATGAGAGAGCACGAGATGAGACGGAGAAAGGGGAAGATGGGAGAGGATAGACAGGACATGAGAAGACGGGGAAAAGGGAGCGAGACAAAAAGAATCGGGCAAATGGGAAGAAAGAGGACTAATGCAGCAAGCCAAGCGCAAGTCACATGTTTCCAAGCACCGTCTTTCAGATGAGCACCGAGATACGCTGCAGTATTTTCCAATCAGAGGGGTCATCGTGGTCAGCCATCGCGCGGCGACGAACATTAGCCGCTAATGGGTAACTAATGGTCCATGGGGCGTGACTGGCGAGAAGAACAGAGGAGGGGCGCGCCGCGAAAACCACCTGATAAGCCGACATCGCCGGAGAGGGAGCATGTCATCGGTGACTGTGTTTGCTGTGGCAGTGAACAGGTGCCCCAGGTGGGACCAGGTGTTGGCAGATGTTGCTACGTCTTCCCAGCTGTTGCTAGACACGGCAGGCGGTCGATAGACGTGGACGCCCCAGCCCTCTCCGGCCACCGCCCAGTCAGCCGCTCCCTGCGACCTTCGATCCAGCCCAGCTGATGCAAATCACCCATCTAAGAGCCATCGCCGCCTTATCGCTGTCAGAGTTCGGTAATTAGCACCAGTACGTGATCAGCAAAGAAATGCTGGGCTCGTTCCAATCACGAACGAAGTTTCATCATTTGAAACACAACACTCCAGCGATGCGCAGTGTTGAAAGGTGACTACGACATTTAGAGGCAATACTAACATTCTTCAAGCATCATTGCAAAACCCGCTTCTCAGATTTCGAAACCCGCGTCGTTATCTCTGGATGAAAGACGCGTTTAAACGGTCACATATTTCTCTACTGCATTGTATACACCCACTCACAGCCCGGACATCCTTACTACATCTCTGTCGGGCCGACGCACTCGGGTCGCCGGCCGAGAAACAAACACGATGGTGCGCAGGACACGCCCCGTCGTGCCGTACGTCAGCCTCCGGGTCGGCGTAGATGCGGGGTCGACCGGTCACCGAACGCGCCGCGCTCCTCCGCCGCGCACAAGGCGGAGTTTTTGCGCGTCGCAACATCTCACGCCGGCGCCGGCAGCAGCATGACGCGACCCGATGCCGACCTCTGAGGCGCGCGCCGCCGCGCAGCGTCCCAACGACCTACACCGACCTACAACGCCCCGCGCCGGCGCGCGCACTCGACTTTTTCGGCGCGGTCCGGCGCGCCCGACGCCGCCGAGTCAACCGAAAAGGAGTTGGTCAATTACTGGGCGCGGAATGCGCGAATCCGGTCGGCCGTTTGGGCGACGCCGGCGGCTGGTGGGGAGCGTTTTTGTGACTGACAAGGAGGCTCCAAGGGGCATCCATAGCGTCCGACACACTTGAGTGGACTCGACAAGATCAATGGACCTCAGGCGGACGTGACACGCTGGTCTGAAGGCCCACGGCGAATGGAAAACAAAGCACCTACACAGCATGCCATCTCGAGTATCTTCATGGCAACATATACAACATCGCGAGTATCTTCATGGTAGCATACATCCGTCAGTTTAAAACCATATTAGCTGTTAGATACTCTTCTTTCCATGCGAGACAGCGATCGGGACGGAACGGTTCCCTCACGGGAGGGTATCTCGACGCGAGCTGAGCGTCACCCCAAACCACAAGCGACAGGTTCGTGTGCGGGGACGAGGGCAGATGATGAGGGGACCGGTGACACGCGACGGGTGATAACATCACCCTGGGTACGCCGCCAGACTGGATAATAACCCCGAGGACCGGGGAACAGGTAAGGAGGACTGACCCAAGCGGGACGTCTATCGGGGAGAGCCAGCTCTTGAGCCAAGGGAAGGATGGATTTGAAAGGATGATGTTCGATCAACGGCGATTTAGGTGAGTCTTTTTGCTTATCAAGAAAACCATGAAATTGCTGACACTATTTCCAACGCTGGCTTTGCCCATTGTTCATTTACCATGAGTAATTCATTCCAGCGGTCATATCCACAGCATTGCCCGATCATTGAGTGGTTTGATGATAAAATAAAGCCTCAAATCGGATCGTCTTCATCAGTTCCATCCTTCAAGGAAGCTCAGATGAGAATGAGATTCATTTAAGTATTAGAACAAGAAGTCACGTTACATTTATACGGCATAGTTCATTTTCTATATTCTGACGAAGCAGCCCAAATACCCACAGCCTTCCTCAAATCATGTTCAGAATTTAAGCACTGCAACTGTAACTAAATGAAATATTATCTGCAAGACTTCCAGCTACGCTACATAACATGATCGCAGGAAAAGAAGATCACTCGCACCATTCTTTGGATACGATCAGTAGCCTCGCCTGCTCGAATATCCTCCTGAAAACGGGGCTAATTCACAGGAATGCAGGATAACCTGCCGAATTTCCCGACAGACGCTACACCGTACACAGCGCGGCGGTCCATCGGTCTCAGGAACTGACACGCCGCGAAGACTAACGATGTCTGTCACATACGACGCATATTAGAGCATCATGTCGCCTCTACCACCAAAACCAAGAGTATAACACCTCTGAATGTAGATCATTAGCGTCCGGTCGCATTGAATATGCCGCCGCAAAAGACCTTGGCATGGCTTTCTGTCCTAAGCCGGCCGTCGCATTTCGGCGCCGTATAAATCCTTAAGGAGGCCGTCCCGTGCTCTGTAAAGGATTATACGCAAACACGGCCGGGTCTTTGTGAAACTATCTCATCTCCCTCAGCGAGCGAGACGAGCTGATCTCTCATCTTTGAGCTCACCAGATACCAAGCCGACGAGGAAGCAGCGTTGAAGGCGAGGGGCTATATTTAACCGTCTCTGTCTCTTATCGATAGCAGTGATGAAACGGAACTGTTCACTGATACGATTATGCTAATAAATCAGCACGGTACTGAATTTAGACTAGGCGGGCTATACTAAGTCGACGCTCTTCATATATAGAAGTAACCGGGCGATCAGAAAGAACACCGTGTCTTCATTACCCAGCAAAATAGTTAGTTTGGATAGCTCCGAATTCGCTGACACCCATCGGTCGTTCAAGGTTCAGTCAGGGTCGTAACGAGATGAGCGTCTTTCCTCTCAGTCCGACCGGAGCGGCGGCCTCCGCGGGACAGGCCGGCAGACAGGTTCGGCGGCTAATAGGCGATACGGCGGTTACATTAATGTTCGAGCAATTAGTCACAGCATTCATCATGGGCCGACACAATGGGTCGATGGACTCTGGCTCAGCTGATGCTAATTCGACATACCACTGAGGCCCAGCTCGGGGAGTTGAGGGCACGGGATCAGCAACTGCGCTGCTGATGTATGACATCATGACCGCAGAAACTTGCACTGACGTTATGAACTCACTGAACGAAGTTCTTCCAACCCACTGATGCCGTCACGCAAGCTTCCGTCGATTTCGGCAGTCCGTGTTGGCAGCCGGAACCAGGGGCCTCTTCTCCTACCCCGGCCGAGCTGAGCGCGCCTGCCGTCTGCATTCGCGAACGGCTCAGCCCCGCGCGACCCACTTGCCACCTCCGTTCGGGGAACTGCGCTCCACAGGAGCAGCCCGCGCCCGAGAGCAGGGCGGCGCCCACCCGAGTCTCCCCGCACCACGAGAGCCCGGCTCAGATACCAGCCGTTCAACTACTTTACATCAGCGCTCGCTCTGCAGCCGCGCTATCTGAAACTGTCCGATCGGATTCCGTGCGCGCCTGTGATGCCGCTGTCTGGTTCCGAGCGGCCGCTCCGCCCGGCGCGGCGATCGGGCGGTGAGAGCTGCCCGTGACCCGGTCGGTGCCTGGTCAGACGGCCGGCCGGACCGTCGGGATATCCTGGTAGACACTTGAGCTGCTGGAGAACGATGTAGGCCGAGAGGGACACGACACGCGCCACTGCCGGCCACCGACACCCTGCCTCGATTACCTGACGCGCGCAAGACAAAAGCGGCGCGGGTGGCAGTCATTAAAGTGAGACGAGGTAGCCGGCGGGTCATGCGAGGCTATTGTGGTTCTGAAAGGGTCGCGGTCAGCTCGGTCAACTCAGGCGGCCTGGCCAGAGGCTGGGCGTGTCCCACCGGGAAAGCACGAAGAGTTGGAAGTCTTGGTCGCCGAGCATAGTCACGGCGAACCACTTACGGAGATCATCCGGGCGATCTAGTCGGGTGGCTGGATCACTGGACCGCCCCTGACCACTTTCGGCCGGTCTACTGGCGAACTATCCGACCTGAAAGCTTCGAACCTCTCCCTGTGCGGCGGTGCGTGGCTCAAGCCCACCCAGCTCGCTCTAACTATATAGCGCCAGGTACCGGTGATCCGACTGACGGCCGGGGAGAGACGCGTGGGGTCGGATCGGCGGCTCGCGCAGATCATCACTTCACGCCTCAGTGCACACAGCGGACAGAACAGAACGACGTGAGCCGATCACAGACCATAAAGCCGCCCTGCCCTGGTGGAATGCTTCTGTTATTTGCGGCCGTTAGAGAAAACAAAGTGTGATTTATACATCAAGAGACTGTTGGTTTTACCAGAATCGTTCAACAAATTAGCCTATAGGTACATTAATTTGACCTGTTGGCTACTTAAATTCATCAGAGTACTTGGCATGACAGCTTGACGATGATTATCGATGGCTTTAAGATAGAGTAGAGATCCTTATACTTGTTATATCCTTATACGTTAGCCTTCACCGTATTCACTTAGTATAGCAGCAGACCTACTAAAACTGTACTGCTGTAGAAAGTGTGTTTCATTCCTCTTAGTAGATTTAGCTGCGAGCTCGACTGCAGACTAATGACCTACTCTCTAACTGTGTAGTCGGAAATCTCGGGGCCCTGTCCTCTCGTCCTCGGCACTGATGATTGAAGAGCAGAGCGCGTTGATTTATGTCACGCATCACCGCGTCGGGAAAAGGCTCGAAACGGGCAGATACGCTGGGCCTCCGCTAGACTACAAAGGGCGTCCAGTGAGGCAATCCAGAGACCAACAACTCCAATATCATTCACTTGGACTGAGTCACAGTCAATCACCCAGCCAATATTCTACATTCCAAGAAGACGGTTATAACTAGCCAATGTTCACAACATGCTACCAAAAACTTGCTCAGCTTCATCATAATCGAACGATATCTAACCAGGTAAGGAGGTCCCGAGAACGGGTTATCGGTCAGACTCGCAAAGCGTTTTACATGGGCGATCATTCAAACACCAACTAGCACGCATCGTAGCCAGATGGCTGATGTAGGTACACCCGATTAAAACTTAAAAGCGAAAATACCGGACGAACAGTTGGGAAATTACCCCGATCGATCCATGTACCGTTTACCAATTCGGCTGCACCAGACCTCTCGTAGACGGAGACTGAGCAGCTCTAACAAGACGGGCCAATTGTACCGCTAGATGATCGTCCACTCCACTATCTCTCCTGAGCAGCCAATACCACCACCACCCGTCCTGACCGATCACCCTCCCTTTGCGCCGCGCCGTACGGTTACGAGTCCAGACAGTCACTCGTGGTCACTTCTGCTAACGGGGAAGGACAAACCCCGAGAGAAAAACCGACTCATTATACCAGGAGACCTCCGTTAGCCCCACCGCACCCTCCCATCGGTTGTCCTCGGTGGCAGGTACACGCCGTACTAGGATAGATGGCCACTGGAGATAACGAGTAACAGACACGACTCACTCCGTCCTCCGTACGTACCTGCCCCGGCGCGGGTCGTGTTTCGGTGGCGGGCACGGTAATGCATAAACCTGACCCAAGTGAGTCATTTAGACGTCCCACAGGAGCTTAATTCAGCACACCAAGTGACCACATGAGTGCCATATTCGCGACACGTTAATCCGGGTATCAGCCGTGGGCCCATGACAGTCAGTAGCGGCTAATGCCGCCGCGAGTTACGTGCGGCGTACAGGTTGGCGGATGACGGGGTAGGTTGGAAGGTCGGGTATGCTCATAGCGCGCGGCCTTCACGAGCGGCCTTCGTAATTGGACTGGTGGGTTCGTTAATCGTGGCAGAATGCGCCGGCTGTTTTGTGAGTATCGCTCGCAATCTATGCTAGACCGCAAAACGTTATCGAGACAAAGTTGGCACATTGACTCAACGGCGTGAAAGCGGCTCACTTGCAATCAGTGACATCCTGTGGGCGCCGAATCTAAGTACTGCGCTATGGGCCCAAGCACAAGCCTGTGTTGTCCTTGACAACACCGATAGCACAGGGCTGTATGACCCCTTTCAAAAGCAGTGCAGTGCGGTTTTCAACTGCAAACAGCAAACAATACGCCATCTGCTCTAACCCAATTCCTAGCCGAACGAGTACCTAATGGCCGTTGTCACCCAAAGTTGCACCGGCTTTTCCCATAACTGAATTGGCCGTATGCAGAGCTTGGCGAGCCGCACCGATAGTCCGGCTGTGTATACTCTAAGCTGCGCCAGTCCTACCAGCTGTACTCACCACGGTGAACTGGACGGCGGTCTCCATGACGAACTGGCGGCGCGTTGGCGCGTCGGTGACGTCACCCGGCGGCTCGCTGTTCTCCTTGTCGTCGTCGGTACCGGCGGGAGACCGTTCGGCCGACGAGGGGCGCTGCGCCTTGGCCGAGAGCGCGCGCTGTAGTCGGCTCGTCGGCGCAGACCGCTTCCGGATCAAGCCCTTCATCCTCTGTGGCAGGGGAGGGCAGTGGTTAGATCAGGTCGGGCCAGGTAACGATAAAAGAGAAGAGTAAGTAAAGCAGACACAAGACAAGACATTCAAACGCGTAAAACTCTGGTAGGCCGAAAAACAAAGTTGGTAAAAAAAGGATAAAGGAGAGAGCACGGACAGCCGCGGGGCGCAATACAGAAGAAATCCGTCGGGGAGTGAGTGAGAGTGAGAGTGAATGTTCGGAGGAGCTGTTACGGGTGAAGTGCTTCCATCGCGAGCTCTAATCGCAGCAATTTGCGCTCTTAGTGAGAGCCGGGAGACCAGTAAAAGCGTCGAGTCCGAGTCCGGTCGTTCTCACCAGCCAAAACTAGTGACAAAAACAGCCGTTGGTTTCAAATATCTCCTGTTGGTATGTCACGCGGTAGGTCTCAGTGACATCATTCTGACTCCAGTGCTATATCGGAGACGGCTGTGGGAACATCAAGGAATCCATTAGCACCCCCTCGTCTGGGGAATATGCCGCCCCCGTTATAGAGCTGACTGAGACCAGATGGGAGAGGAATGTGATCGGATGACGGCGCCCGGTGGTCGCGACGACGACGACGCGGCAGGGTGACAGAAGGGGTGGGTGAGACGGGCGGGGGTGGCGCAACGTCAGCTCATCGTGTGTGAGAGAGGCCGGGCCCGGAGAAAAGTCACGGTCCCGAAAAAAGATGAAGTTGTGCTGACGCGGATTATCGACAAATGAGAGATCATCTAAAAGGCGTAGGGAGAATAAGATCAGGAATCCGGAATGCAGGAAGGCATGTAGCTAGTTATACATCACAGTTTACGTTGTGAGTAGGCAGTAACTGGTCATCAAACATTTTGAACTAGAGTTTTAAGCTCCAGAAGACAGTCGTAAGTAAGAAGCTAAAGCTGGTTGGCTATCTGATAATATAAGGACTCCCGTCCAGTGTTCTTATTCTACATCTCCTAGAATGATCGTTGGGCTATAACCATATCGGCACGCATGGTTGTCATTTATATTCGAGGCGGCTCCGTGTCTATAATTCCCTCCTCCCCGACGAGTTCACGGTATTCGTGTTATCATTAACCTGGAACAGGCAGCGTGCCAGACGGCAGCCGGCGGCGTCTCAATCTCAACCCTCGCCACTTAGTCCGGGAGCCGGGCACGCGACGCGCCGTCCCGCCGCCCGGCCGCCTGGCGTGCTGGGATGCCGAGCAACAGACCAACAAACCAGAGCCAATTGGGACCAAATCCGACACGCACCAAATCTAGGCGGCTCGACGCGGCGGCGGTCACACACCCACGGCCGGCCGTGTGTATGTGTGGAGCCGTGACCTCGGTGGAGGTCCGCTTAGGGCCCTTGCCGGCGCCGGCGGCTGCCCTCGGAGGCAGCCGGGGCAGCGCGTGCACCGTCCCAGCGGGTCTGCAGGCTGCGCCACGCTCAACAATCCCGACATCGGTGAGCAGTCTACCGCACGTGCCGCGAATCGGGGACTGCTCTAACCAGTCGACCTGGCCAATGGGTCATCACGGTTTCAGCCATGGAGCTAAATAAAGCCACATTGTTGAATGATGAGCGTGCAGCTGCCACTACAGGAAAACAATCGCAGATGACGCGCATGAATTTCCGATTATCACGCTCGGCACACCTGGTTCACGTTTGTAGTCGCCGTTTTCCGTTGCACCTTGAGACTGAGTTCGTCGAAACGGCTCACATCTGACGTCGACATCAAAGGCTGCGGCATGCGACCCGATCGACCTTGCGAGTTGGTCATATCGCAACTGCAGTCCACCGGCTGTCAACTTTCCGACTTAGTCACCGGAGCTCCTTCTGGGCGCGAGTTCCGTTGGCGCAATTACGACACCGCAGCGCGAGGACGGCGACGGCCGGATGTCGTATCGAGGGAGTGGTGGGAGGGGGGGGGGGGCACCTGGCGGGGACCGAAAAACAGCCGTGAGTCAGCTGAGAGAACAAGAGAGACAGCTGTTTGTCACCAGGAGATCTTCTCTCCTCCGGCGAGGCCTTGAAGGCCGAGGATGTGGCGACGGGTGTGGCGAGGGTGAGCGCGACAATATCAAGACGTGATGACTGAAAGCAGGAGCAACCGATATGAAAAGTGAAATGTGACAATAGTGCGGAAGGATAAGCAAAGAATGTTCTGAAGACTGGTGTTCTGAAGAAGGAGTCAAAGTAGGGCGCAGGTGCAGGTTCCAGGATGAATATGCGGAACATATGTCTTGTGGAAAGTACTGAATGGGGATTTGTGTCAAAGGAACCATTAGTCAACTGCGTAACTCAGTGATAGAACAAATTTGCTATCAATTTGATGGCAGGAAGAATACCGATACGGGCATTGTATCCGTCTTTTTTAGCTCTGCACCTACTGCATTGCATTCCAACAGTAGCAGTGCCCTACTTCGGACCATGAGAAATCCGACATATCCAGAAAAGAAAACAGTCCGACTGACACTCGTTAATGAGCGGAGGCACTGAACTGCCCATTACGACTGGCCGGACGAGGCGCGCGGCGCCGCACCGGCCCGTTTCAGGACCACAATCGCGCACATGATCTGTGCGCCGAAACTGGCGCTCTCATGACAAACAGTGCGCCGGTGTGGCCACGGAGAAAGCGTAGCCACGGCCGTGGTCACTGTCCCGGCGGCGCGTCCACCTGGTCAAAATGAAAGCGAACGGCGCCCGCTTCCGCCGCCGAGCCGGCCAGGCGTGTACGCAGACGGACGTGGGAGTGCGGCGGCGGCGTGGCCATACCGCGGCCGTACTGCGGCTGGACACAACCGCTTCACTTTCCATGAGACAAAAATAGGACTGACATGCCTACAACGTAAAGCAGCTTTGGGCCATAAATTATCAGAATTAACCATTGAAATATGCATTACTGAAAAACTGTTAGAAGCGACTACCTACCAGTTCTCGGCGTTCTCGAGGCCCGATATCAATCCCAAAGGAAAGGTAGTCTCGTAGTCCTAGCATCCCTCCCCCAAGCCCCTTATTCCAAGATTCTAATCCCAAGCTCCACCCGGCTCTGACAGCTCCCAGCGCGGCTCCGGCGGTCGAGGAGGCCGACCGAAGGGTGCTCGGTATGTGAGCTGGTTCACGCATGGCGGCTCTCGTCAAGGCTGCGGCGGCTGCTTGGCCCCGCTGACGGGCGGCCGATCGGCGGTCCGTCCTTTGTGGTGGCCGTTTGTGTTTTATTGCCTGCACCAAAACACGGCCGGCAGGCGCGGCTCACAGCGGGCGGAGAGCTTGCTGAAGGCGCGGTGTCTAAAGGCCGAGTGCTGAGGAAGATAGGATTGAGGGAGGCATAATAAAAACAGGTGAACAGATCAGGAGAGGTGATAAAAGATCGGGATGATCAGCATCATTCTCATGCACAAGAACTGCCGAAAGATTGCGTGTTATATTAGGAAACGGGTCAAGGATCAATGATATCGCTTATAGAGCTAAAATACCGCGTCACAGGAGCAGATACGGTTCGTTGCACCGACCAAGCGGATGCAAATTGCAGCCCAGCGCCGTCGCCGATCAACAGCACCGATCCATTTACCCCGTGTCACATGAGGCAGGCAGACATTGAGCGTGAAACCCACAACGAGGAAGGTAAATCAGCTGCGGACGTTTTATTCCGCACGGCCGGGTGGAAAAGCGACCTATCGTCGCTGCCTCCCGACACACCTCTGCAATGATTCACACGATGGTCGCTGTGTGAGTCGCACCGACTCAGCTCACAGCAGCCCGGCTCACAGTGAGTGTGTCCTGTTCCATTGTGTCACAGTGTGTGGACTGGAGTGTGTCGCGGTACTCGCCTGAGACGAAGGGTCGCGGCAGAATAGACCGAGGTCGTCCGATGGGAACAGCTCCTGGACACGTTCGAGCTCCGACTGACCGTTACCAGGGGTTGACAGCAGCTGTGGAAGGGCGGGGTCACGGTCAGGTCACAGGTCACAGCGAAGGGCGGGAGATGACGATGGTCGGTTCCAAGCAAAAGGTACCAAAGCATTAAATATCCCTATAACTTATAGCGATGTGAAACAGCGTGAGATAATAACATATTTTTATATCCGATAAAATAAGGTCGAAGTTGCATCGTACAACTAAATGTTAGCGAGCCTTAGTATGGTATTGGCGACACAATTACAAATACAGACAACAGATACGTAAAATGCGACAGACAGACGGCAACAGAGCCGTGATTACCGATATCACTACCATCCCATCGCAAGCAATCGAGTATGATACCCAACCCTTCCACCGGATCGAACTCCCAAACAGCATCCACAATGGTCGATTTCCCTCCACACCACGACACAAATACCCTCAGGTCAGCCGGCCGCCCTAGATCGCCCAGGCCGCCGTCGGGACGGCTATTGTTGACTGGGGCGAGGAGCGTGTCGGGTGCTGGTTGGACTATCGGTGGTCTGTGACGAACGGTGGATGATGCGTGTCGCGTGCCAGAGGTCGATATTTGTTGGAGTGGTGTTCACGTTTCACTGGCTTTTCATTACACAAGAGATGTTCATGACCTAATAAATATGCAACAATTTGAGAGATAAATCGAGCCCGTTTACGGATCATCTCTATAATGTAATTTCATATGTTCACACGTCACGGGTTTGCATGTCCCACAGTACTCTCCCACCAAGAAACCTCTGATATTATACCTCATTATCCACGGCTCGGTTCCTCGGCACCGGGGTGTGGCCACTGACCATGGCCGGCGCTAGCATATTCCACCAATAAAACCATAAATGCGGCGGTGAAAAGGTCCGCGTCGTGGGCTGTGAGCACCGACTGACAGGCGCCGCCATGCAGTCACCTGTTCGCTAGCCAAACCACCTGCTGAAGTCTCAAGGAGCGCGAAACTGTGGCCGAAACTGTGGTCCACAGTCCGTGAGCTGTGATTCGGCGCGATGTCGGTCGGCGCCCGTGAGACTGGGACCCGAGGTTCGAGTCACACCGGTCGGCACTGACTCTCGCTGTTGTGCCGTGAGAAGGCAGCCCTCCTCTGAGCGCCGCGCCCGTCCACACCGCTCGCCGGTAATGGGCGCGGATTTCGTCTCATTCGACTGCGGCCGGCCGCGGTTCGTTCCGCCAGTCGTACAGGAATCTCAAGGTGAGCCGACCGCGCTCACAGCGCGGCGCAGCTCTCGCCAATCACAATGGTGTGTCCATAAAAAGTGAAGGGGATAAAATGTGTCATTAGTTCTTGTCGCGTCTTAGTGGTTTTATGAGGCATTTGCCAATGTCTAGCAGGGGATGAGAGTAGGCTGTCACTACCAACACATTCGGTAGCTATTGGGTAGCCACTGCGTAAACGATGATGACGCAGAGCGCGTTTGTTTGCGTCGTTCCCTGCAGAGCGGCGCCCACAAAAGCTGATACATCAAACCCGCCGGCCGCACAGAAGCGGGTCGGCCCAATTGCACGTCGGGATGCGAGCAGCCCGATACCATCTAGTTAGATGAGAAGCGAGCGGGCGCCTTTTTGCACGCTCCGCCAAAGGTGATCGAACATGCAAACCAGACGAGCGTCGCCGCACCGAATCTTCACAATGCGCGAGCTATTACTGTAGACATTATCACATTGACAAGCTCAGTAACGCCCGATGAGACATCTATTGAAGATGACTCAGCGGCACGGTCGGGATGAAAGGCAGCCGTGACTCAAAGGCATCCTATTGAGTAATACAGGTGACTCGGGTGACTCGAGAGGGCGCAACTCGTGACTGGGTACAAACAGGTCGGGAAAACGCTACAGAATACTCACAAAAGGCCAAAGCCAGTGGGCCCACTCACATACGTGAGATAGGGCCCCGCATAAAGCGGTCACCATGACTCTTGTGCGGCCGGGTCAGACGGGGCGACGCCAGGTCACAGCGGGTCAGGTCGGGTCAGCCGACCTTAGAAGCGGCTCCTCCAGCTGTAGCGGTCACCTCTGACAGTTGCTCTGCTCACCAACGCACACACCGACACTGACCGTCCCATCACGAACGATATCACTGGCGCCAGGGACCACCGTTTTCCAATGTCACCACTATCTCCACTCGTTGATCAAAGATAAGCCACAGTCGATACGTCCAACACCATCCACTGATCCATCCCTCACTGGAACACCGTCACGGGGCGTCACACCGTCACATCACACCTCCCATCACATCGGGAGTCCCCTCGCTCTCCGTCCGCGCCCGTGTCCCGCCCGCCCGGACACCGCCGCCGCCCGGCGCGCCACACAGTCGGCCGCCGCTCCGACACTGTCGCCGCCGCGCCGGGACCGCCGCCGCCGATCGCCGTCACAGTCGCCCCGATTACTCACGAAGTGACGTCACGAACGGCGGCGGCCCGGTCTCCCGGGAACGGAGGCGCTTTCACGGCGGCGGCGGCGGCCACAGACCGGACGCGGCCGCCCCCGCCCCCGCCCAGACCGCCAGGGACACCAGTGCCCCGGGGCGCAGGTGTACCCGACAGGGGAGGATGGTATAGGTGAAGTGACACACTGGAGATGGAGGAATTCCTGATATCTCACCGAGAGCGGACGTCACGATGTAATGCTTATAAGGATTGCAATGTGGCGTCTGAAATGCATTGCATCGGTGGCATTCTCCATGGTTGCGACGGCTAGAATGTCGTCATATGTCTTGCAAGTGAAGTGCTTGAGCACCACTGCTGTGGACAATTTTGGTCTGACGGCATTGCAATGTCACTCAGTAGCGTCATATTGCATTCACAAGGCGGTTACCTAGTGTTCCACAGCAAACACTTGCCAGACTCAATTTGATCACAAATGGGAAGCTTGTTGTCCCTCACCTGTCTTTTCTGAACACATGACAAAGGATATCGTCCGTGGCCCGTGCCATGGTGGCTACCGTGTCTGGTGACGGGCTGCCCGTTAGGAAGCCTGCGCCGGCTTATCTGGATTGCATGACATCATTGAGCGTACGTCATCTTCAGACTTCAGAGCAAACGTGTGGGAGCTGGGCAAGTGAGTGATGAGATCATCCCGATGAATTGATTCGTAGCATTATATTTGCTATCCAATTAGTGCTGGATATCTTGATAATTTTAAATAGTGTAACTATGCTCTTCGTGACTGGCTTGAACACATGTTTGTCTTCGGTTACTCACGGAATGATTGAAGGCTTCAGCCAATATTAGCTAGAAGCTAATAAATCACAGCTCCGACGCAAACGTCATGACTGTCCGTCATGACTGTCAAGATTTATGCGTTCACGAACTCCCGTAAATTACATAACCATCAAGTATAATACAAACTTACCCGGGAGAATCGACAGTGAGTTAGCTAACGTTCACACCGCGTCGCGTCTTTACCTGACTCAAACAGCGTAAGTTTCTCGGCGGACAATTGGTCGGGGTGGCTGAAAGTAGCTTCAGCTTCCCACGTCGGATTTTCCTTCGCTCTCAGAACCGGTCTCCCTGAACCGATGGACTACGATCGGCGGTCGAACGGAGCTCAGTTCACACCACGGTAATACCTTGACAGCCCACGGCTTAGATAACATGACAGGTAACCGCCAGGAACGATGTTCTTTGTCGATTTGGCCGAACAATGCGAGAAATGAACTCAGAAACACGATCTTACGTCAGCGAAGCAAGCATAGTTGCAGACTTTGTGTAGCATATGTCGATCAAAACAGACAAAAATAAAACCAAAGGAATGTTCAGCATACTTCCTCATTCTGTGCTCTATAAGCTTCAAGAAAGAGCAGCAGCTTTTGCGACGCATATTATGTTGATCAGCCCAGCACAGATCGTGGGGTCACACGGTCCACCCGGCCCACGGTCTGATAATTCCCGTCATGTTCCTCTGACACCTTATCCAGAGACTCTGTGTGCGATTCACAGACGGCGGCACCAGTAATGCTCGCTGTGGCAGTGCCGGTGGTGACGGCGGTGTCTGTCAGCCCCTCCGGCTACCTCCGTGTCCTTGGCGGTCAATTAGGCGTGGCGGACGAGGGTGACCATATCCGCCCCTCTCCTACCTACCACCCACAGTGAGGCGTGCCCACTCAGTGCGGTCAGCCACCCACCCTCCCCTCCTCTCTCCCTCCCGGTTTGAGGGAACTCCGGGTGTGGTCGGTCTCTGACCCCGCGTCAGCAGAGGTGCCTCATCTCTCTTGAGCTGAGACAGCTCGTCATGAAGCTCAAGGCAATCACACAGAGGTTGTTAATCTTGTCTTTGTCTCCGGAGTTGGCATGCATTCCGTCTCATAATTGCTACCTTGTGAGACCTTGAGAAGCAGTACGCATGTATTATGTGCTGACAAGACACGGCCGTCAGTTTTCCCGGTTCACAATAAACGACCATATTACATAGAATGTCGTCATGTTCTGTCATGAGCAACAGAACGTGTTAAAGTCGTTTATCGCTTCCGCGTCCGGGATTGTAATAGCAGCAGTTAGCCAGCTCTGCCCAGTGTTCGCCACCAGCTCAGCCACAGTGGTCAGCGATCTGGTATTATCCAGCCGTGTTCGGTCAGTACGACGTCTAAGATCGGAAATCCAACGGTCGGCCACCGGTGACTGGTCAGGTGGTTGTGTGACAGACATGACTGGTGGTAGGTGGCAGGTGTCAGGTGACTGTCACAGACCGCTGTCTCGGGTCAGGCATGCCAGTGTGACGGTCAGTGGGTGTCACCCGAGTCTCGGCCTGCCGTACCAGAATTGGGACCGACCCACCGACCCAGACCCGTTTCGTACAATGTCGGGTCGGTCTAGCGAGTCATCGTCGGGGCCCACTGTCCCAGAGACCAGACTAAGGTTCTCTAAGGAGCCTGGAAAGAAGCCAACACTATAAGTCGGCCGGGTCCACCGGCGATGACTGAATCTCAGTCACCGCCGTGTGATGACGACGCATCGCCCGCCGTTCAACCGGTACCGATTTTAGCCAATCTGTCGCCGCCCAGACCTGACTTCAAAGCCGGCGGCGTATCTGTGGATGCCTCCTGTCCTCCGGTCCGATCGTTCAGACTGGGCCAGGTCGAGACACGCCATACCGCCACGGCCCAGTCACCCGGGTGCAAGTCATCTTTTTCTCACCACCGCGAGCCGTCGGCAGGCTGCCGGTAAATAATCGCGCCGTGCTCATGACTGGGTCTGCAGGGAAGCTATTAATGCCTGTATCTTCATTGTTATGCTGTGAGTGAGACGAGCAGCTCCGAGGCTGAAATGTTCCCCTTTCCGGCGGGAGATCCGGGAGTCGGCAGGGGTGCCGGTTTGGGTCAAAGGTGACGCGGCAGCCACCCCCACATGTCACGAAACAAAGTCCGGCCCACAGTCACGCCGTGAACTTGAAAACAAACCCGGACCCCGTCAAACGAAACGTCACAGACCGAACCCACCACACCGCGCCGCACAATCCACCGGCTGTCGGGAGGGCCACCGTCAGAGAGAGCCGATGGCCGGCCAGTTTTGGGTCAGAGGACCGAGTGACACCTCACTCGGCGCGATCGGGCGACTGACCTGCTTCACGCGTCCGCGGACGCGACTCAGGTCGTCAGCATCAGGGTGGTCGCTCGGAGTTTCGGCCAGCAAGTCTTGGAAGTAGCGCTCATACTGAGCCAGCCGCTGAACCTGCAACAAGAAAAACAACAGTCAGCCACCGCTCACGAAGGCGCCGAAAAAGGCGGAAGCGCATTCTCCGCAGGCTACGTGATGAAGAGACGCCGAATAAAGATTAAATGCTTTGATAATATGTATGACGAAAGGGTCGATATATTGCCGAAGGCCATTCGTGATATTACTAACCAAGTCTAAAACCATATTTGCTATGGATGTAATGGAGACTGCATTCACACACATAAGAGTAGCACTGGTGTTAGCCTCATTTTGCCCATCGCAGTTCCCATCAGCGTTCGTGCCTAGCCGCCGCGCATCACGATTGAACAACAAAAAGCACCGATCCCGGCCGACCTCCACTTGGCGCCGCAGCCCACCCACGCGCCCCACGCGATAATGACCTTATCAAAGCGGCGCATTCTCTGCGATTGGCGCCGCCCGGAGAAAATCGACAATCGAATCCAGCGCGGCCGGCCCCTCCCAGCCGGCCGCCGCCGCCCATAAACAAATACAATGGCCTAGAATGGAGACTGGCCGGCCGGCCGGCGGGCGGCGGCAGCTCGGCACACGGCGCTGGCAGAGCTCCAGGCCCCCAGCGGGCCGGCACATATAACTGTTCCCGTGACCCGGTGCCGAGATCCGGCCTCCGCAGCCGCCGCTGCAACGTGCGCGCGCCGCGCTGTCCTTCGGCGGCGTGCGCCGGCCGGCCGGCCGCGGAGGCGCGGTGACACGCCACCTGTGTCACCACGGCTGGCGCCAGGAGGCGGGCGAATAACGGGCCTGACCGGACCGTGTAAGCCCGACTCAGATCGGAGAGGCGAGACGCGAGTCATCGCGTCACCCAGTGACACGGCTGGCCGAGACCCAGAAACCCGCGCGCTCAGACAGCGTGATAACAGTGGTCGGTCCTCCAGCATTAAACCGCTCTAAAATAACGCATGCAGGTGCATAATATCATGCACGTCACCGTGCGAGATACCTTACCAAACCCTAGACCCGCTGTATCACGGGAAGTGTGACCTCCAGACCGCAGCGGCCAGACGCGTGCCACCTGCTGACACTGCCTACGCCACATCGCGGAGAGGCAGCACCGCTCATCGGCTGGTCCCAATCCGAGGTGATCTGTCTCGTGCCGCGTGCCGAAACCGACCGCCGATCGCGCGTCTCTCTCGCGCAGCGGCGTCAGCTGGCGCTCGATGTAGGATCATGCCGTGATCCGTCAAAACACAGACACCACGGAACGCCACGGGACGCCGGGCGCCTCGCTGGTCCGTGTGTTCGGTGAACAGGTGTTGGCAAACGTCTAGCGGTTCAGTGGGATTATCGATTTACGGTCATGGCCGTAAGAGATAAGCCGTGCGTGAGGGGGTGTTGGAAAAGAGGCGTAATGGTTTCTCAGAATCAAACGTCACTATGAAGTAGAGGTCAAATGATATCATAGTGCCAGCGCATATGTCAAAATCGCACTTAAGACCTTGTGAGGTTTGTATGGAATTTGCATTATGCAATCTGCAGGCGAGACTGCAAGACGGCGCCGCTCCTCAGCAAATGTAGACATCATGCATAGCGGCATGAACACACAAAGGCTTTTTCAGTCCGTTAGCGTCGGCCTGAGAGCATCACGAACCAATGGCTAACAAGCAGAGAACAAGCGAACTTAAAAATATCCCAGCAGCCGACCATAAGTGCGACAAAGAGCTGAATGGTTCGCCATTAGCCGGCCAATATCAGAAGTCATTGCGATGCACGGCTGGTCGGTCACTCACCCACCAGCGGTCGTTTGCACGGGACAACGGACCACCGCTCGTGAGAGGTATACAAACACGGGCCGACGGTGCACCCCGCGCCCCATCGGTGGCTGTATATCTCACACCAACCGCCGTGACTGCCTGTGCCGAGCGGTGTCCCGCCCCCAGTGGCACAGCTCACAGCACCCCTCAGGTACCGATCGACAGACAGACTGGGTCGGGCGCGGCCCACTTCTCCGTGCGAAAACGGCGCCGACGAGGCGCCAACACGTGATGCCTATTCATAGGGAGGCGAACGGTCACGAGCCTTCCCAGACGCGCCCGAATTGGGCCTGTGACCTCAGCTGGCGACCCATCGAGGACCTATTGCTGACCCATCTGTGACCTGTCGGGGACCTACATATTGACGACTTATCGGCCACTCATTGGCGACCTATTGACGACCCATCGGTGACCCGTCGGACACCCACGCGCCCACAGCCCGCCCGTGCATCGTCCGTCCGTTCCAGCTGAGTTACCGTAGACCACCGATTGGCAGCGTCGGATGGCCTCTGAGCCTCTGCATAACGGACCAATAGCTGGCGCTGACAGCGGCAGACGTGTGCACAGACTCGGCTACACCCGAGGTCAGCGAGGTCCATACAACACCGGGCTGGTGTGCTAACAATATGGCTGTGCTGTGTGTCGTCTGAAGAGTTTATGGCGCTATCCTAAATGATTGTTACGCTGGCTTAGCGACTCAAGCACAGGTAGCAGTTACACTGATCTGTGCAGAGACTCCTGCTTATGTTACGTTCAAGCTTGACACATGCAGTTAGTGTAAGACACGTAGCGGCTCGTACCGAAGTGTCTGAGCGCAGAATCATCAAGAGAAGAGGATACAATGATGAGTCAGGCCCCACAGCGCGCTACAGGGGTCAGGAGTCACGCGGATGTGGGCTTGGTGACCGTGACGGTTGCCATCGGCGATAGGTTCAGAGGGGTGCCAGCCGCACCCCGTTCATCGACGCACGTCGAGGGGGTGCGGTGATCGCACCCACCACACACCCATCGCACACCCACTGCGCACTAACTGCATACACCCAGGCGCGTTCAGTGCACTCCAAACCAGAGGCGGCGTCCGGAGCCAAGGCTACGGAAGCTGTAAATATCGCCAGCCTGTCGGATTATGCAGCTCTATGCCGGATATTGTGGCTAGACGGGAGGAACCCGCCATACTGCATACGTCGTCGAGGCGACGTTACGGCGATTCAATGGATGGTCGGCGGAGAGGAGCGGGCACACAGGGGATAGTCAGTCGCGAGAACCTGTCAGTCTCAATAAGACACAACAGTGCAACTACATCGGCTTCCTGCCCCGCTATGAATGAAGGAAGATATGAAGATGTGAGCAATTGAGAGTGGTATTGAACTTTAGAACAGGACTTATCAAAACTACCTCCATAGGCCCGTAACAATTCCGCGCGCGTATCAAACAATTTCAGTATTAATGTGCCATTAAAAAACTTGGGATGGACGTGAGGTGGCTTATAATTCGATACGGTGCATTGTAATACGTATCTCTCATCTACGAGAGTGACCGATTATACAGTGGAGAGCCTCCCACGACCTGGCAAAAGAAAACGTTCAGTAGTTACAACCACTTAGCATATAGAAAGCGGGCAGTGACGAATATGGAATAAGTTCGTGGACTGAAAGAGAATAACCAATACAACCAATTTCACAGGAAAGAAATAGAAAATAGTTTCATAAGACACATTAGCATATGCGCAAAAAGAAACGTTAAAAATATGAAGTAAAACCTCGCCGTTTCGCCGGGTACCACAGGCCAATCGATGCCCAAACCCCACCACCTCTTTATACGCATCTATCGGTGCCATCAACTGGCCCCACGGCAGCCGGCAGCACTCAGCAGACGCTCGCCAATAATTGGTATCAATCTGCCAGCCTAGAAAGGTCTGCCACACTGAAGTGTCCCCGGTCATCTGGTCTACAAGACACATATCCACACTCTCTTTAACTAACAGCTTCACTCAGCTGCCGCTCTAAAAACACCACTTGAACACGGTGCATAGGTGTGCAGTCGACAGTATGAAGATGCAACTAACAAACACCAGATGGTGACCGTAAATGCTGCCAACACCGTTACCGATGTAACTGAATAGAACCGTACCTGCCTCCGTCCGATGATCCGTATCGATGATCAAGCGTCAATGATCCGTGTCGAAGATCAACTCCGAACCACGCACCTCGCGTCACAAAGTCCGCTATCTCTCCTCACACACTCGCGTCTGTGCGCATACGGGTCACCTTCGAACGTCTCCTGGGTCGCGCGCACGCCACCCCCACCAGTCCCTACGACCACAGACCGCACCGGCGTCTGCCGCCGGTCGACCGTGACTGCCGGTGCCGACCCGCGCCGCCCGCACTGCCGACCGCACCCGGTCGAGACGCTCAACTGGCGGCCGCTGCTCTCCCCGAGTCGGAGGCTGGCCGCCCGGCGCCCGCCCGCGGTCGACCCGCGCCAGAGGTGAGCCCACCTAGACTCGCCGAGGAGCGGTCCGACTAGCGCGCGGACCGTGCGGCACGCGTCCGTCGCGGTCGCGGCCGGCTGAATTATCGGACTCGCCACCACCGGCATGCAGGCTCATGCATACATGCGCGTCGACCGGTCGGGGGACGCGCCGGTGGCCGGCGACCTGGCCGGATGGACGGACACCTGACGCGCCCACCCGGGCTCCATGGAGGCACAGGTGGAGCGGACACTGGCGATGGAAGCCGAGATGGAGTGAAGACTTTACGCGGACCACAGAGAGCGACAGATAAATTCACAAAATATATCAGATTTACACGGTAAAACAATTCACTGTTTGTGTCAAAAGCGGTTTTAGCAAATTCTCTGCGACTTAAAAGGTGTTATGCACTGCAAGCAATTATCATCATTGGTGCAGATCGTGTGAGTCTCCAGACAGTAAATAATAATGAAAACAAAAGTAAATGCTGCCACAGACATTTGGAGGATCGGGAGGGCCAGATGGGACACAGACAGCAGCACCATTTTCCCGGAGGCGCCGTAAGAAACAAAGACGGCAGCCCACAAGGCAAGGACGGTACGCTTCACAAATTACCGACAAAAGGAAAAGTTTGGCACGTGCACGGCACGATCAAGGGAAGAACAGTTCGCCGCCGAACCCAGCCATCGGATTGAATGGGCGCTCCCCAGTAATCATAACGTCACCGTCGATAATTTGCTCCCATTGTTCTATCA